AAACATATCCCGAACCATGACCCAAGCTGATAAAAAAAAAAAAACATTGCGACTACAAATAGTAACGTTTATGCCAACCTGTGAGTTTTGTTTTAGAATCTAGGGGAAGAAATAGGCATTTGTATTATACATGGACTGTATATTAACTGCCAATGTCTAAACCAATCTCAGTCGTTGTACAATGGACATAATTGGCCCACGTGATTGCCAGCATCGTGTGGTGAAATGGATGTATGTAGCGACCGCCAGTACGTACATATATTACAACCTATAGGGAAGTATATATATTTATCCTTTCCTTCTAAAATGATGAAATATCCTGAACAAAGGATAATGTGTGTTTCGATCATCGTTTTTGAGCCTTCATCTCGTCATATGGAAAAACCTACAATGATTGAAAGTTAAAGCCATCTTCATATTCGTATGTTTGAAAATTGCTTAACGAGTGGAACTTTTGCCTGCTACTCGAGCTGCTTAATTGATTGTGCCTGTGACATGTTTTGAGTTTACCCATGAAAACTCTTTCATTTTGACTTCGTTCAATGAGGGATACGACGAGTGGATTAATTGATCCCCATAGCCTCTCCTTAATAACCGTTAGTTTCACATTATTCGTAGTATTAGAATTCGGTCGCTCATGATATCAGACTAGCAAAGTTAGAAAATTGCTTTAGGTTTACTTGTTAAGTTATAGTTAATTTTGTTCTGTCATACGGGAACTTAGTTAGCTTCATAACCCACATTGATGAGATTATTGAGGTAACGATAGAACAGTGTACAACCATTCCATTATAATATGGTCGAATCGGCTTTGTTTATTCGATTAGTAAACCCAAGATTGTGCACACCTTCTTATTTTAGCTCTGGGTGGTTCTTATGATTTGCGAATAACAGACTCAGTAAAATAAGTTTTATCTGATTCCCTTATATTGCTCTACGTCTGAAGACAAAAGAATCTTGAAAAAAAACCCTCTGATCATGCTTCATTGATCTATGGAACGCCTACCTTGGCCGCAATACGTGCTCAACTCTCTGTAAGGACAAAGGTAGCTGGTCCAAGCGCTACTATCTTTATTGCTAGTTTCATGGCTGCCGACCTAAAAAAGATTGCACCGGTTGCAACGCCGTGGCCACCAAAGGTATTTGTAGGCGTCGACGTTTTCCCCTATGTCCCATCCTTTCGTACAGTATCGATCACCTGACTGACAACGCTGGCACCTTCCCAACATAATATCCAATAATAGGTCAGCCAAGTAAAATGAGGCAGGTCAGGGTCGAATTGAAAAGGCAAGGGTTGCGTTCGCCGCTTTAATGTGAGGCGAACATTAAAGCAATGGGCAGCGATTCAGCACAACCTTTGCTCGTAACCTCTGAGGTGGCCTTTTTCCCTTTCTGCTTAGAAACGAGGATGGCTTGGGGGTCAGGTATGAGCACTGGTCTTCTAAAAAAAGGAATGACGATATTGGTGGTGTTCGAATAGATTTACCCAAAGTCCGTGAGACCAAGAATCATCATTATACTGCCGGCGAGAACAGGCCGATCGGCAACGACGCTAAGCGCGTACTGGTCGAGTGCTTTTGGTGATTGTGCCATCCACCTTAGCTGGTCAGGTTTATACCGAAGGATTTTTTCGCCATGTCGTCGACCTGTGCCTTAAATCGATATCTGGTCGCAGGCTTCACTTCTCACCTCTTTCTTTGCCTAGCAGAGTGAACCGCCATACCATTACTGCCTCCTGGATGGATGCTCTTATCCACCCAGCCTTCGCGTACCCTTGAGAGGTGTCCACTTTCCTAAGCTTCTTCTACGCCCTGGCTCCCAGCGCATACGTTTTCCTCTCTTCCTGATGCTGCTAGTCCGACAAGCAGAGCATTTTTCAGCAGTATCTTTGATGACCTTCATTCCTCTCTGATGGCCTTGCTGTAGGTTGAACACGACTATAGATGCTACAAGTACGCTAAACCACTAGGGAGTGCGTTTGTCTGCTCGAATACCCTAATAATCTACCCTCTACCGAGAAAGGCTGCTAGCTATTTCGCACAGTCTAGGTAGCAGGCACTAATGGTAAGCATCGTCAGCAGCAGCAGCTACACAGCACTAACAGTCCGGTCGTCTAGGGCAGCATCTCCTAACGATGCTGCCGCTGGACAGAGCAAGCCGCAAACGGACCAGAGCTTTTTCGCTGATTCATGCGATGATGGTTGACTGATACTTTGCACATAGCAAGTTTAATCTTCGCGGCAACGGTGATGGCAGCAACAGCGATCTCTGCTTTGCTCACGTACCTTTCGCTGCCTGATCAGTGATGATACAGCTGTTCACCCAGCCTGTGTCCCAACTCATGACGACCTCTACGAGTAGCGTGACCCCGTCGATCTCCAGTCGTGACGGGCCTACACGTTCGCGCAATTGTGATGACCGACTGCCGACCAGTCCCTAACGAACGGCCATGAGACCAACCACAAAGGTACCTTCTTGTTTTTTGAATAGGGAACTTAAAAGGAGAAAACAGAATGAAAGAAAGTACGTAAAAAGTAGCATTGTGCTACTCCCTGCGCACCGACAGTTTTTGTATTCGATTAAATGTCAAGATTCTGATTGATTGGCCGACTGATTAACCTCTGTGGTGCCCTTTGTATGGCGGTATACACATGCGTAGCACTGAGCAGTGAGCAGAAGTGATGAAAGAATAGTAGCAGCGGTAGTCTAATGTGAAGCCTCGAGTCTGCTGATGTTATGGCTATCTTATCGAAAGACAGGCGAGCTGAGGACGCATATCTACTAGAGGTCCCAGATCTTCAATAGATTCAAACCGGATGATGAGCAGGAGTAATAAAATAAGGAGTACTGGGCTAGAACAAAGGACAGTCGATCAGTAGTACCGTTAGTTGTTGTTCAGTGCAGCTGCAAGCGGAGCAGCATAATCAGTTTTTACTTGTGCTACCACTGGCCTTAGACAACATCAAAAGAGCCTAGACAGAGCGATGAAGAATAACGTGTCATGACCTAACTGATGGAGCAATGCCTGGTGAACACTTGTATAGCAGAATGTGCAGGGAACTTGGGCTAAGCTAAAAACCGAGTTTTCGGCTGCTTCGGTTAGTAGTCCTGTTAACTACATTTCCTCGTCTGCTGTCTCCTTTACATTGTTTTTCTCTAGTCGAGATCAGGTCTCAATACACTCATGCCATCTTACGACTACTAGTATTGCTGATAGAGAGGCAGGTTCATAGTAAAGTGCGAGTTAGGTCAATGAACAGCTGAACGAATGGATCACAAGGCTGGGACGAGAAACGGACCTAGGCTGGATTTGGCAGCGGTAGGGCGGGGGAGGGGGGGGGGGGGGAATGGACCCAAACCTTCTGATGCAGCACCGGCCTTCGCTACTCGGCAAACGGTGAGTTTATTGCCTCTGCAGCCAGTCAAGTACAGCATTCCTCAATTCGAGAACATTCGATAACTGAGTGAGGTGTACTGCCATCGATGGCTTGCAGCACGAAGCCCCCTCAGTAAGGTGCGTACTGATTTATGATGTCTTTTTTGTAGCAACATATTTTGGTGCAGTTATAACAAATATATATATATATATATATATATATATATATATATATATATATATATATATACGTCATCTTAACTAAATTGAACTTAAAACCTTAGTTGGTCTAAAAAAAGCTCAGTCCTTTGAAAGTTTGATAATGTACAATATACATATAATCACATCCGTTATATACCGTCGTCTGAACATACCAATATTATAATTGTAGAAGACTGAATTCTGGCTCTAATGTTTAGGCAAATTTATATACGTCAAAGTTGAAACGTAGACAGTATGACCACTTTCCCGTGGCGGTCCATTAAATCATATTGTACCAGATTTTGTCAAAATACCGTAGCGTAAAGTCACTCGGCCTTCTTCGCATAAGCCACACATACTGTGAATGATTACTATATATTAACTTTTTGGCCAACTTAAAACTTTTTTTTTTTATATCCTGCTGAACGAAGGGAAAATACATGTTTTTTGTTTAAGAAAATTATACTTTTGTTGGGAACAATCGAATTTTCCCGAATCAGTTTTTCAGTATCTTGCTGTTTAAGCTGAACTACTGGTCATAGAATAAGCCTACATAAACCTAAACTATCCTGATGGTTCCGAATTGTATAATGTTGTCACACGAAGTGTACACTTGTAACAGATCATTCGTCGCTAATCGAAAATAGAAGTAGAAAAGCACCCTGTAGTACACATGCTGCAAGCGGTCGTAGATAATGATTACGTTGACGTAAGACAAATACTGTTTCGTTATGGCCATTATTTCTGCTAGTATTTGAAAAGGCGAACACACGGGTTGCGGGTTTCAGGAATTACGAAACAGAGCTGGTCACAGGCCCTGGTACTTCCTTTTTACTAGGTGAATCCGGACACTTATGAAGTGGATCCGTTACAAGGCCAACGTTATATCTAAGTAAATATATGTATAAGGCGCAAATTGAAAAGTTGTATTTAGCTCTGTATCTGCGGGTCTAGAGGCCGGTAAGGTCTTGTAAAAAATTACACATGATAGAAGTACTTCGGCTATCGCTTGCTTTGAGCAATTTGTGCAGAAAAATGACACTTCAGAAATTTGCTGATGCTTCCGAATGGAAACTGAAAATGAAGGTAAAAGTAGTAATGCATTATGCAAAATGCCTCTTAGGTGTAATGGAGTAATTTAATATATGCGTTTTATGGTTATTCGAGCAAAGAAACGTTTTTCTCTGTCTTAGCTCATTATATAATTAATCATTTAAAAAACGATCAAAAAAAAGAAACTGTCACAGAAATGCGTCACTTTTAAATAAGGTGAGGAATTTGCTATTATAGTATAGTTCTGCTATTATAGCATTAAATATACATTCACGTGTCGAATGCATGACTAACTGCAGGAAAAGATAGGGATTGCGCATAGATTCGTTTCGTTTGACCTTTTCCTTGTCTAATTTTTGTTTTATTGCAGTGGATGATCGAGGGGGCAATAATGGGACGATCTCCGCTAACGAGCCGCGTTCCAAATCGGCCCGTACCTTCTACTCTTCCAAGTGCCCTTCATCGCCCATTAAGGTCCGCTCCGCCAGTAAGTAGCCCGTAAAGAGGCCAAGAGAGATAATGCGATTTGATACAGAAAAACAGAAACATTTCCTCTGAAAGAAACTGAAGGGAGTAAAGCTGTCAGACGCTTTAGCACAAATTTCACTGGAACTCCGTCTGAGTTGACTGGACGTTGAAATGACTACGGATGCCGTCATGGCTTAGTGTTTAAACGACAACGAGAGTTGCCGTGATTGAAAAGCGTCCGACTGATTGTTGTTGGTAAGCCATCACGCCTGATCCGTTTGCTCATAACTCCTAGTTTCTATAAAAACTAGAAAGCATAGAATTCAGAGAACGATAAATCAGAGGCAGAGAACGAGCATCGGGATGTAAGTATAAACCTGGCTTGACGATTTCAGGTTGTCTTGCCCCAGCTAGTGTAGGACATTGTTATATCAATGTATACCTGCTACACATGAGAAAGGTGTCTCCATATGAATTTTTTCACGGTCGTCCTGCAGTATCACCACAAGAAATTAGTACAGGCGCCAAGTAACGAAATCATCGTAAAACAATAATGATCTCTCAAGCTCTAATCAGCTGCCATTCGAAAAGCCTATCGTTTCCTACCTGTGCTTGTACGGTATGTTCACAAAAAGACTCCGTACTTTGTGCACCCTTCTAGCCATATTGTTGCTACAACGTTTGAATATCAAAGCCAACAGTGGCTAACAATGGATGGGTGTCTCTTTGGTTTTCCGCTAACAGTCTTCTTACGTTGATGTTCCTGTGTAGATTTATTCTATCTATTTGTGTCATCTGGCTTCCATAGGTTAACACTATTTCCGTTACCGATAACCGGGGTGACTTTTCAAACATCCATAAGCGGTTATTTTGATTGCTAGTTTTTCCTCTCGTTCAGTTTGTCTATTTTGGATTTTAATTGGCTCTTAAATGCAGATTCGGACCGCTTTAGAGAAATAAAAAATTAAATATTTCTATTTGTTTCATTCATCGAGCTTATTTCGCAGTTATTCGACATTGTAGATAAGGGTCATTTCTACTTTGCGAGCTGGTGGTTCCCTTGATCCGCTTCCTAATTTTTTTTAATTTAAGGCTGGATCCATAATAACGAGCAGAGTTTATTATGAGATATACTGAAATTATTACTTTTACGGTAATCGCCGAATATACTGCCTTTGCCGTGCAAACGTATTGGTAATAATTTTAAGACGAATAGTGAGATCAGTGAATACAAGGGTAAATATGCACGTAGAAATGATATTATATCTATCCTAGAACCGTATGGTTCTTATTTCCCACACTCATTTTTCCAATGACGCCAAACACCATTCGATAGCATCGTACTGAGCTCTAACCTCGAACGTCCTAGCTGTACAAAATAACAGTTATATGCTGGGCCAGATGTCTACTCGTTGCACGTTGTATAAAAACTAGGAAAAGACGCGCATATAGACTACCTTATAGTTAGCACTGAAGTACTTTAGGCACCAGTATGGTACGAGAAGTATTAGTAGCCACGAATCTCTTCATATACAATAAACTTTGCCGTTGTAGCACGTCTAGTCGCAACAAGTCGCTGTTCGCCCGTCTGTTACTGCCGTCTGCTGCCAACGTGATGAAAGAGAAGGTTTGTTTAACGTCTTTCTGATGCTATCTTCGTTTTACATTTACAAGCAATAATGCGGCGTAACGCGCCGCACCAGGATGCATAGCTCGGAGAGGATGGTGAAGAGCCATACGAAAAGAGGGTCGGTAGGGAAGTCTGGTCAGAGATGACATTCACGGAGAAGTTTTTAAGGAAAAATTCAATAGAGGTCCATTCTACAGGTAGCTCAAACTTCTGTAAGTTTAATGAAGCGGCAAGCCGGGCTACAATCCGAAGTTAGGCCCTGATGAGGGTCGCTTATCGATAGAAGCCCATGGACGTTTTTACGTGGTAGCAGAACTGCTCTATTCAGATCGGAGAGCAGGGTCATCAGGACAGAACACTGGACGAGCCGTTTGGTGAGAGACGTTAGCAATGCCACCACCCCTGATAGCTTCCATACCCACTGTCCCTTTCTGCGTATCACTATCAAAACAAGATTCAGCTATCTTGCACCTAAATTGAATCGCAAACGCTGGCAGGACGCGAAGTCGAAAAGATTCCTCCAGCAAAAGCACTCCCAACTTGCTGGTTAGTTGGTTGCCTGCGGTTACCTGCTACGGCGTCTGAATGGGCTCCTGCACGGGTTGGAGAGACAGGCTGCCAGTAGGTATAGTCTAAGTCCCTTCCTCATTCGTCGGCCTTGTTACCCAAAGTAGCGCAAGCTCAAAAGCCTTATTATTGACGATTATTCGGTCAAAACCAGGGGCCTGTTTCTTGCGTGGCAATATGCGACATATTCGTACAATTGAGCTATCGATAATTAGGAAATTCAGGTACAAGTTTTCCGGTTCAGTGTTTACGGACTTCGAACTCCGAACGTTTCAAAATAGCATCATGGCTCTGGAATCACTACGCTAAGCAATCGCTACGTTAATTTGAAGAATTTCAAGAAAGGCAATGATCCTCATTGACGACGAGTTTAGCTTCCCACGCGCACCCATTCCCTTGCTTGTTGTCTACGTATACCGTCTTGTACGGTATTGTACAGCCTACAGTAGCAATACGGCTTCAAAGCTTGATTCATTGATTAGACCGAATGTGATTCTATAGTTTTGTCGCAGAGTTTCGTCATGTTACGATAGACTAGTAGTAGCGGAAAGGCAAATTGCAGATCACACTTCTGCCTTTCATTTGCGTCCACAGTTTGGACGGCGTTGCGGTCTGTTAATTTAATTGCTTGGCAGCACCTCGTCGGACGAAACGAGGTATTGATTGCATTCGTTATTGATCCTTGGTCCGCTAGAATACTATGAAGCTATTATCTGTGTACCACTGCTATGGTTACGACATTAGTTTCGTATTGCATTACTGCAATTCAGTATCACGATAGCTAGTACAGTTTGGATATGATCTTGCCGTACTTATAAATTTTCGTAGCAAACCTTGCTCGGCCAGTCTGAATGGAAACATAAAGGTTACTAGAAGATTTTAGGCGAGGACGGTTAAGAAACGAGCAGATTCGTGTGCTTCATATTCAGTACTAGCGTTTGCACTCCTATGTTTCTACCAGTCAACGACGAAGGTGCGCACACATAGACAGATATGACAGCCACTTGTAGTAGTCATTCGCTATCGACTGAAGGATGTTTCATCGGTCGAACTGGCAGGTCTGCATACCCAGAGCTTCACGATGATTGAACCGGGTCTATTCTATTCATTGGCCGAACCATTTGTTAATCAGTGCAGTATTGTACCATACGAATACAGGGGGCATTGTCATCATATCCTGTGATACACTAAAAATTTTCTCTCTTCCGGAGAAAAACAAATTTTTTCAAATTACATCGTTTAGTAGACGCCCGAATTATATCAATGTGTACTGCGGATTAGGCCAGCGTGAATCTCCAAACCGAACATCTTTGTCCAGCTGTGACAGACTTTAATGAGCTATTTGTTGATACATTCATACGTTTATCCACCATTTTTGCTACTAAAGGGATAGCTGTTCAATTTAAAACAAAATAGCAAATAATAATAATAATAATAAAAAAAAAACAATGCGTCCTTTCGCCAGTTGAACGAAAATGATCTATTATTTAATCTTCTTCAGCTGGGCTAATCCCTATCAAAATTTTTTTTTATTTGCAATCGACGATCCACGTTATTGCCAGCTTTCAAGCTGCCTCTGAAAGGTCCGGGAGAATTTTTCGTAAAGTATACCGAAAGATCCTCAATAGTCCTTAGATCTAAAGGGCTCAAAAGTTAATCAAAATTACTTTGAAGGGATTTTCATGAATATACACATCTGGATTTTTGATATAGAAAATAAAAAAATGTCAGTTTTACATTGGGTCGTTCAGACAAACTCCAGACAAAGCTGGTCTCGTTGAGACTTTTTGCGCATTTCTGCGTCTCTAAAACCTTTTAGCCGTTTCGAGTGCTTGCATTTTTAGAAGCCCAAAATTTATTTCCGCTCGAACTTCTCGTATGTAGCATATTTGGGTGATACCAATATCGTTTAACGCACGACTACTACAAAAAAGTTATTTACGGATTAAACAAGGAACATATTGAATAGCTGGCCTTATGTTTTATATATATATATACGGACGTTTTGGCGAGGCACGCACGGCAAACGGTCCTATGCGCAAGCCAGTCGGGCAGTGATTTCTCAACTTATCTATGAATATACGGATAAGGGCAATCGACCAAAGCTTATGTCGTTTTTGGACAGTTAGGCACGTCTTTGAAAAATTAGGTACGGCTAGAAGCAGTAGTAGTTGCCACGGCAGCCACGACGTTGTTATCGGAGGGCAAGGTATGCACCACGAACGGCCTTAAATGCCGATCCGTCGGTGCATGTTAGTTTAGTAGAAGCAACGGCATGTAGATGCAGTGCTCTGTCTCGTTATGCTATGGGCAGTACGTGCGCTCTCGTGCTATTATTGGTGTCTTCTGCTGTAGATTATCTACTAGTTAGTGCTAGCATTTCTGTGTCGGCCTATGACAGAGCCCATCCACTATGGCTTCTGAATGTCCTGCATGGTCCAGGCTAAATGTGTGTGTCAAGTTCACAAACTGTAACACCAATGAACTGACGCCTGGGAAACACAAATGATAGAAATTCTCTTGGCATCCCCGCCCCAGGCCTACCTTATAAGCCCCGCTCCCACTGTCCACCCCTTGACGCTTGTGCTTCGTCTCTTGCTGTTACCACCACCAACACTCGCTGCTACTACAGTGACAGGATTTGCCCACAGTTTCCGTCCCTATTGTTTTTCTTTCTGTGCAGCTGGAGTGCCACTTAAGATATCAATGATGCCATGCTCTCGGTGACGCTGTGACTGTTTCCAGCCAGCGTAGAAACTGCAACAACGCCAAGGGCAGCAGCGTCGACAGCATGACCAAAGCGAACGTTGTACATCGACAGCGCCAGTACTAGTAACGTAACAAAGGGTTTCAAATGGATGCTCGTATGTACGCTGCATCTGGAATCTTCATCCCTATTCGTATAACACAGTTTCTACGCCTGAATAAGTATAAAAAAGGTACCTGTGTCTATTCCAGAAACTTCCCTTGCATTCTAGCGCTAGATAGTCTTGAGACATATATATTCTAGTAGAATCCTTCCATAGGCTCCCAAGTGTAAGTTTAAGCGACGTGCCGTCTTTTTTGTGATCGCCAGGATAGCTAGCTAATCAGAGGAGAGGACAAGTAGCCTAGTCTTCACTAAGGAATTGTTCTGCGGCTAATTCTTTCTTGAGCCAAGATCGGACGCGCAGTAGTGATAGTAATAGTTCTCGTTTTTCTTTATTGGCTTTTCGATTCAACGTAGGACGACGCGATCCTATTGTGAGTAGCAGCGTTAAGAACAGCAATAGCAGTCCGTTACAGTCATGGCCGTAGCAGTCTACAAGAGTGGGGCAGGATAGGCTGTTCTGTAATGTTTATCTAGTGTGTATAAGTAGTTCTGTTTCGTTTACTGATCCTGTTACAGCGGTGGTCCGTTACCGGCGGCACGTCTTTAGTTTCGCTTCTCCTTACGCCAATGCTGCTTCAGTTTCTGCTGCGTTTGCATTGCGACTTAGTGTACGAGAAAGAATGCTCCGGCTGTCGGTGCTTGCCGGAGTCAGCACGTTCCGTTCCTATCATACTCCCCAATGATGGCAGCGACATCAGAGCTTGGCTCGACAGCATGAAACCTCAAAGGATCAGATCAAATTGCATAGGCCGCAGGACGCAGGCAGCCAACACTACCGTAAATAAAGGCACTTTCCTGACGGCGAGCTAGTGCTGCTGCCATTTTCCAGCTTAGCACCGTTCCAACTATGTCGTCCCGGTGAAGGTCTTGGATTTTTACCGTCGCTGGCTTGCTTTTTTCTTCTGCTTAGGGATAATTTCATTGGCGATTCCGGCGCAGCTGGCTGATGTATGTAATGGTTCTACGGCAATAGCTAAATATGCGGCTATACTTCCCCACATACTTCGTCCTGGCGATACAATCGCTAGCAAAGGAAAAACTTTTTCGTGTGCTAGAGAGGACGTATCCGCTCTATTCACGCTGCAGCGTATAACCTTGTAATGATGAGAGGACGAAAATACCGAAGAACTGCCCCTGTCTCTTGTTTGTTATGGCTAGAATCGGTCTTCACGGGCCAAGTGTCGGTTATGGATTTCCTCTAAGGCTTCGTTTTTTAGACTCATATCTGCCCCCTTCTCACTAGTTCTCTCTCCTTGTAGCATTAGTCATGCTACTAGAGTTATTTCTCCTTAGCATCATCAACATTGTCTCGGTAAAGGGCTGACCCAGCCGCCTTTCTAGCCGGACGATTCCGTCTTGTCATCTTTCGTTTACAAACGAGTGGTTCACTTTCCCCCTAGGACCTTTACCGTTTGTGACTTTAGCCGTGTTATTTCGTCCATGGCGTCGCTGCCAGGCCGCATCTAGCGTGTCCTGCCTTTCCTCTAATGGCTGTAATTATAGGGGGCAAGGCCAGGTTGCAGGAAGATGAGAAGCCACACGGTGCAGAGCACTTTACCTGGTTTACACTATGAAAAATTATAGTATGGTAATTCGCTTGGTTACGTCTAGGAACTTCTCATTGGAGTACCCATACATATGTACATATTCTAATTAACGATTACTCATCCTGCGACTGTAGTTTTGCAGATCGTTAAGTTACCCGATGGCACGGAGGAAGCAGTGGTTAAACGGACGCCGGAGGAGAAGCACCGCTCACCATACACGCTCTCACTCAACAGGTACGTGCCAAAAGCCCCGTTACATACATACGCACAAATCACTACCAATTTACTGCCCTCATTGCAATGACAGGCAGAGAACTAGACTTTTAATAATAAAAATGGTAGTCAACTCCTTATTAGTAGATAATATGATGCTCATAAAGATGATGCAAAACTTGAGGAAGGGGTCCAAGATGAACCCAGCTGAAGCTGTCTTAAACAATTTTCATGGAGCAAAATACATGATGTATGTATGCTGAGCGCTAATTTGCATCAAGCAGTGGATCAAAAGCTAACGCTCAATGATAATTGATTAAGTAGAAATGTCTAGGGAAGTCCAAATTACGAACAACGTCTAGCCATTGCCCCTTGTTGGCAGTATACGAATATTCAGCGGTAGGATTTACTGGACATTCAGAATGTATTTTTTTTTTATCCACAATCCTTTAGACATTCTTAAGCAAGCATTGTTCCTTCGTTGAATTTCGTTGCTTTTGTTGGCTTGCTATTTGCAATATAAACTTCAAAAAATTAGAAAACGACCGGCTGTTTACCTAAACAAGTCTAAAGTGATAAATTCTCCTATTAGTTTAGGCATAACAACTATTGGCTCCGGAATAAAATACTCCCATTACTCACAACGTGTTTGAATTTTCATTTTATCAACTAGAAGGTATGTGGACGTTTAAAAGAGATAGTTGCCTTTATCGAAACGGTAATTCTCTTCCTGCAAGGTTCAATTCAGTGAAGTCGTTGGCCATAGAACAGCGAGGCCTTCTTGAGCCTATCGGCTTTATTTGTCATATAGCGAAGTTTGGCTTGAGGGCAAGGAAACATGCGTGTTAGACTGTTCTGATGATCACCTTCCATAAGCCAGTGGGTTAATCGCCTCAGCCTCCAGCTTTCGACCTTCGCCTCTCTGCGAGTGCCTGAAGTTTTGGTCGATGCCTGCTGGCAGAGAACACCCGACAAGGCAAACAAACTGCGTATGCCAGTGACGATATGTAGCCGCATCTATCATTTTCTATCTAACGTGGCTCCTTCTAAACGCAGCTAAAATGTACCTTGCTTATGCTGTCTTTGAATAACGTGATCATCTGTGATCACGAGCGATTAATTTCTATATATTCTGTCAAAATGCCTGTATATTCAATAAAAATGAATATCTTAAAAATGTTTGAGAACAAAGTTTCGCAGCCGGACTTGAATTAGTATCGAATCAGGCGGTCGAGTTCTGGTGTCAGAAGTACCTTTTCCAAAGAGTAAACTCAAGATGTGCACTTCCTTGAGCTCTACTACTAGTTACATTAGCGTAACAGTACAACTACTGATAAACAAATAGGTCTTAAGAAATAAACGTACAACTACAAGGACTGCTTCGGTTTATTTGCGTCCTCGCGAGTCTAAACTATAGGGTTTGCGGTTGAAGTTAGACAGTCAAAGTTTTTAACGCTGCCACTATACCATTTCGGTTCGTGTCACATTCTAAGGCTGGATATGACTATTAATCAGCGACCCCCCATAATTAGTCAAAGTTTTTAAGGAAAAGTAAATAGTGCTATCAAGATCAAGTACGTTTCATACAGTTCGGCCATTTGTATAAACATTTATTAAAACAACTTATTTATTACTTATGACACATATCTATTCCTGCTAAAGTATGCACGTGGGTTGTCAACACGCATTTTTCAATATAGCGGTATAGCCTGTGAGGCTCAAAGGTAGACCCCGAAGGCCCTTTCCTGTTACATTGTTGTCCCAATCTGATATCGCTGCTGCGCATTGCTGCTGCGTTACTAGTAACACTGGTCATTTTCATCCTTCTGCTATTGTTCTTTTATTTTATTCATATGCGTGTTATCCTTTGCTTTGTTGACGATACCTATTTGACGGTTCACGCGTTAGCTAATGACTGATCGGCGTGCAGACGAAACCAAAAAGGCCGCTTTTGCCTGGTTTCGTCGGTCTTCATTGCAAGCCGACATTTACGGGTCTGCTTTATGGCATACAATGCAGGAAGGTTGTTATTATTATAGACCACTTGAGTCTGCTGGAAAAAAGCCAGCTTCTTTTTGAACGTCGAAAGGTAGCAACGATCGCTGGTTACTTTGACTCCATTGGTTTCCGTCTCTTTCCTTAATTTCCCGTTGTCATCATTATTCTCTAATAGAAATACTTTTCTGCACTTTTCGGTATTAGACATGTTTATTTTAGCATACGCAGCGCTTCTATAACAATCCTCGGATGTTTTTGGCGTCCGTCATTTTTTGCTCGTGTTGACTTCTCTACACTGATTCCTTTCGAGCCCTACGCTCTCTTAGGCTGTCAAGTCGTTGTGTTCTGGTTTGGTTTTTTTGTTTCTGTCAGTATTTCTTCTCTTTACTCCTTTTTCTTTCGTTATTCCCTTCCCAAGCGTGCCACGAAGATAAAGCTTGCTGATGCCAGACAGCGTCATCTTGAAGAACGACAGCTCCTCTTCTACACAAACTGGTATCCGCCGATCGGGTCTCTGACTGCTGCGACAAAGGGCCAGCCCGGTTTTACTTCGGTCTATTTTTTACATTTTCAACCCATTTATGCCTCCTTCCGCATATTCTAAATAGGTCTGTCACGTCTTTCATGTTCTGGTGAGGGTATCCAGCGTAAGCCAGCACGTAAGGAATTATCTCAACAGAGAAGCGTCAGGGCCATAGTCTATTTCGGGCTATCAGCTTATCGCCTTTTCATTCCGCTTTTACGTTCGGTTGCTGGAAGACAGGTCCTAAAACCCTTTAGCCGTTTTTTTTTTTCGGTTATTCCTACAATCTTTTCCACTCTTTTCCATTCTATGAATGTATGTCTGGCGAATGACATCAAGCAGCGATGACTTTTCTGTGCAGTTTCCTCGAGTGCGGGTTGCCACTGCTGCCGACTTGGGAATACAAAAGTTCGTCTCGACCGATTTAACCTCAAACAAGCAAACACGTAACGAAGAACAAAATAAGGGTAAGGCGTAATTCGTTATAGTGATCGTTGTTTGCTACATCTATTCTCCGCTACTCAAGCAGAACGGAAAGTTTCACACCGGCAATTTTTCTTTCTTATACCTTGCGCATTTTGTGGTCAGCAGACAAAAAAATCGTTCCTTCGTCTTCCTTTGCTCCATTGGCAGCGCGCCTTTCTACAGTTTATAACTTTGGAAAGACTATACAGAAGTGCTGTCAGATCGTTTGGGCTACGTTTCAAGCACATATTAATTTAGGGACTGAAGGCAAATTTTATTAACACATTGGTCCAGAGGATATTCTTTTAGGTTCTTTTACCAATTGCGGATCTACCTGACTGTCAATAAAATTCATTCAACTATTCGAATTGAAACGCTGTTGATATATGGGATAATGAAGTGTCTCCACTTTCAAATGCCAGATGTTTTTCTCTGTGTTTGTTCAAAACGCAACCTATCCTTACAATAGATTTCGCAATTATAGTTACCACTATCAAAAGCCTAGATTAAGCATGATCTCTAAACGGTTGCTAATCCGATTGTTGTGCTTGCCAACGAGATTCCATTGGATTTAGTTTCTTCAAATCTCTTTTACTAACTTATGAATAAATGGGTTTGACCCATCAGCATTCAAAGGGGTATACATTTGGTATTGTTTTTTTTTTAACATTTTCGCTTTTGTACTGTACAGCTGAATGTGTGTTCGAGTACTACATGTTAATTCTTCACATCTTTTGTACATTCAATGAAAAATCTGCTCTTAATTTTATGCTGTTTTGAGATCCGTTCCAAATTGATTAGTTAGTAAGCATCTCTAGAGGCTAGCAGTCGCGTGTGTATGCCGACTGATGTTCTCTGTCCTCCCGGATATAAAAATATAGGATGCACTCACAGCCTTTACGACCCTGTTTTGTAAAGGTTTACGTGCTTTTTCCAGCTGTCTCAACGTCAACGGTGTTTTACTATTAACATCGATTGAAGATGTCGTTGGTCTCTTTACCGTCTCCATGTGTTATTTATAAGCTTTTTTTTAGCAGCACATCGTTGTATTCCGCTACAAGGTCGAGGTTCTGGAAGCCCGAATACGATAAGTTATTTAGTTGCCGCGCAACGAGCGGTCCCTCAGGAGCATCTTGCACACCGACTTTGGCTTGATTAGAAATCTGTGGACCATGGGGACTATTGTTGAAAACGCCTTCTAACAGGGGCCGGGCAAGTGAGAGACACAGAAAGTAGAAGGAAGGTAGGTCCAGGAAGAATAATTAGTCTTTATGCTTACAGGATAGTGAGTTCTGTTATCATGACAAAACGATATCAGATCACAGATGTTAGTTGCGTACCTTTTGCTCTGACCCTATCTGGAGGACATGCAGCCTACAAGTTGAAGTTTTTGTCCAGAGGACATAACAGTTACTGTGGTGCCGATGATAAAGTTGCGTCGGTCTCTTTTTAGAGCAGCCTGCTTTTTCCCTGCGGGGCGGTTTCTTTCCCCCATAACATGTGTCACGCGTACTCGTATGGTTGCTTCCATTGCTACAGCAGAGCTCATTTCGCAGATATTTACTTGACCATTAATACGATCCATGCGCAAAACTATATTGTTTTGGCCTGCTCTCTTGTCCACGAATACGCTTTAGAAAGCCTATGCATGCGTTCGCGGGTCAAACCGAAACTTTAACTCTTGTATACGTCCTTGTGGTGGTTTCAATTAAGCGGATTTTTTATACTGATTACTAACCAGGCGTTGCATGGAAGACTACGAGTTTTTCTATGTTGGATCTCAATGATAATTTGCGGTAAGATGCGTGAAACCTTGGTCCAAAGAATGTTGAAGCTAACAGGAACATTAATAGGCCACTGAAGTGGACGATTGGCTACCGAAAAGTTTTTCTAGAGCTCACGACGGCCATACGATGATATAGAGAATATGGACCGAAATCTTGCCTTGTCAGCAAAAAGAAAACGGAAATAACAGGGGATGGGCTTTAGAGCTGAGAGTAGCTTACGACGAAGGCGTCCGTTTAGGCCAGCGATGCTTCTCACGCTCCTTTCCATTCCAAGACATGACTGTTACCAGTTTGGGAATTAATTACTTCGAAAGGCGTTACCTAATAAGTTATAAGTTGCAATCTTAAGCGAACTGCTCTCACGTCGATTCCCCGTGGCTTCTTATGCTCACAACTACCACGCAAGCATTCACTTAGCCATACCTGCTTTGACGGTTTTGTGTCCTTTGGACCGCCGACTGCTTGGGACACCGCCGCTTTCATAGCTCAGGACATCTTCTCTTCTTCTCCTCGTTTTTTGCCACACCCTGACCTGTCAGCTTTATACAATTCTATGCTGCAAATATGTAGCAAGCATGAGGCTCACTGACTGATTATTGTTACCAATGTAGCGCACCAAGATGAGTTGTTTATCATACCATATAAGGCGGTAGCAGGGTTTGTGTCACTCGTAATGTTCTCTAATCAAGTTTCGTGAAGGATTTTCCATCATTGTGAGCCGCTCGTCTGCTCGGTTTGTCTTAGCATTCCACTCAAAGTATCTGAATGGCGGCTGTTTGCTCAGTGGAAGGGTTGCAATATTTATATGACTTCCGCGGTTGACCGGCGGCAATGGGAGGATTATACGTTCCGATACCCCTAATTGGACTAGAGCTTACCTCGGAAGTTTTGCGATGGCCATAATTGCCGAGGACTTTGGGGAAGCTGTAGAAGAACAGAGCAATCAGAAGGGCCGGAGTGGTCGGTAGGATTCTGGCTTTGTTTACTGTCGTTCGTTTAGAAGGACGAGGGAGAGGAAAGCAGTCCCTCCTACATTAGTCTGTTTTCTACGGCGCCGTTGATTTTAAATCCGGCCGCTTGAGGTGCGTCTGTTTGTGACAAATCGAGCGGTTACGGAAAGTCGGGACCATAAGGCGTTCATCCACGCGTATGGTGTTGAATCAGGTGCAGCCGGCAACCTCGAAGCGATTCATAGTGGATTGAGAGGCAAAGGGCCCTGCTTACCACGCACCTCCCCCTGTTTGTCGCCACGGCCTTTTTGATCCCTGGGAATTGAAATGTCATCCTGCTCATAGCGTATGCATGATTCGCTACTTTGGAAAGAGGGCACCCTATTAGAAGCAAGCGTTGAAGTGCGAGCGGTGAAGTCCACTCTAACTAAATAACTAGGCGTACGACAGCTGCCGACAGGCACTGTTGTTTGTTTTTTACTAAGTGGCCGAGACTGAGCCTTTCTACCCACCAAAGTGATCAATGCTTACCTTCTAAGCGTTGCATAGATCTTAAGAGATTCATTATTAGCCCCTCCTTCATATATGAATGCGGCAAGTGCTCACTTGTAAAGTAGATACAAGGAATGTACGCAAACATGTGTGATCCATAGTGTGTTGGTGGGAAGTACTTGAGTAAGCATGAATTTATCGGAAGACGTGTTCAATATCTGTATAACTTAACAAAGTATGGAGGAACATACAAGTTATTTGGATATCAAAACGATGTAAATAGCTTCTAAATGATACAAAGAAATGCATTGTTATACTTAATTTCGCGGTAGATAGCTTGTTTGAGGAAATCAACGGTAGGATACGCCATTTAGCCACATCTTCAAGACTTCGAAAAAATTAAAATCAGGCGAACTTAGATCTTGAGCATTGGCCCTTTCGTTTCTGGGCAATATATCATAATAACAAATGCTCCCTATATCCATCACGAGTACGAGCATTACTTCATGCCCAAATCTATACGCTCCTGCTAGACTCTGTTGTTGCATATACGAGTAGACGTGACAAACTAAGAAACCAGGCAGTAATGTTCCCTTGCCGAGTTCATTTGTTGGTAATATAACAGTGGCAGTTGCTCGTATCGCTTTTAAAGTGTTCTTTTTTTTGCTAAAATCTTATAACACGTACCACTTCCCCCCCCGCCTGCCGAGGAACTTCACACTGAGCCCACAGTGAGTGCATTATACGTAATCTGTCTTGCCCAGAAGCCTTTGCGACCCACCAGATAGTTCTTTCATTCGAGGTTCCGAGGATATAGTAGCTTTTCCCGCCGTCTTTAACCTCATCATTTTTGTATTGAATCGGTAACGGTTGTTTCGTTAAAGGCCGCCTTGCTCGCTACTCTAGTTGACAACTGTATAAACTCTCTCAGCTGCGACTCCAGTCATGGTGCATCGGTTTTCCGCATTCAACAATATAATTGTCTCTAACCTTATTATTTTCTGATGGTACCCAATCAGTTTATGATTAGCTTGGTATGAATATTTACGATGTCCTGTATGCTAGTTTGAAAGCTAACGAAAGGCAGTTCCTTAGTAAATAAATCTAACAGTTTTTTCGGCAACGTTTATACCACGCAACCCGAGTGGGTTGCTAGGCCAAAAAGATTATATATAGCTTTCATGCCATATACTCTAATGACGTGTTTCTGGGGTGATTAAACTGACCAAAGATTTTTCCAGTAAACGCTAAATAAGTTTCTAAACAGAAATAGGGGCAATAACATGTAGTCATATAGTACAATGCGATAATAAAAACACTAAAAAAAAACTTTATGCGTTTGTGTGTGGCAATATTTTTTGCATAATCGTTCTCGGGGATTACATCAGATGCAACCTACATCAATGTCCAGCGATACTGGATGAATGTGGTTTACAGGTTATCTGTTACCGATACAACCACATCGTCGAAATTGACAATATGTCACAAATGAAGATGCTCTATGCGCTGGACCTTACGGCCAACCATATTAATCGGCTGACAAATCTGTACACCTTTACAAACCTCAAAGTGCTCGTTGTTGCTCAAAATAGGTAAGTGTCTCTACTACCTGCAGCAGCATATTGTAATTAGTTACACCAAATCTCCTATATTATTCAGCAGCACTGCATGCCATTATATTGTTACTAAATTCTAGGTCATCAATCAAATGAACACTTTTACATCGTGACTGTGGCCATCGCCCCTGAGCTGGAGCTGCGGTCACAATCGCAAACCTTTTCCGCTTCCTCAGTGATCCTAGGGAATAGAACTATCTCGACTCCTATCAGTTTAGCATGCATGATTCCCGGTTCGACCTGAATGCTATAATTATCTACTGATTGCCTGGTGCTCTGTTTCTGACGAATTTCCCAAAATACCCTTAAGACAGGCTGGGGTGTAATCGCTAACAGCGGGACCACTGGGAGACGCTTAGGGACGCCGTCGCCTTGGAAAACAATGCCGAGCAGGGAGCTGAAATTTGCTTCAAGTTCTCCATGATAGTACGATTGCGTTAGAACTTGCCGTGTGAATTAAGTGACTCGCATATAATAGTAATAGTAAATCTACAAAGGAACAATTCAAGTTAAATAGTCAGTGTTGAATTCGTATCTCTGCAAAACGAGCTCATATGTCACAGTATGGCACAAGTTTGTATGGTTTGTTGATCACAACTATAATCGATTTCTAAATTCGCTAGCGCTCTGTGCAAAAGGAGATAATTGAATAGAGGTCGGCCCAGCTTTATACTGGCACTTCAGTTGGTCTTCTTCAGCAGGTGGCGGTTTCTAATCAGTCAAAACAGTTGGAAAGTTATATAGGCATCACTCTTGCATGGCGAGAACATCTGTTTAGACCCCCCAATAAAGCAAAACTATTTTGTGCCAATAATATAGGAGCATCGGTAAAACGCAGTGTGCTGCTAAATGTTGGCTTTTTCTTAGGATGACCTTACACTTAACGACGACACTCCGTTTGCTGGTAGAGGAAATGTACTCTTTTTGGCAAGTGACTGAAATTTATTTCTATCATATATTAAATCTTCTAAAAAATATATTTACACTTTTAATTATTTACATATAATTAATAGTTAAATTGCTAACGAATCTACATGAAATACAGCCGTATTATCAAAATAATTACCGTTCTGACTAGTATATTAATAACTGTGGGCTATCGCCCAACAAATTTCAAGAAACATCTAATTCGGAGTTCTAGGACACTCTTGCTCAACTGCGCTTTTCAGACGTTCCAGCGTCGTCAGCTTTCTAGAGTTGATTTCATCTTTAATGTACCCCCACAAGAAAAGTCAATTAACGACAGGTCTAGGAAACGGGCACGGTCTTTTATAGGATTTTTGGAAGATCCTCATCGAGATATGCCCTTACGTCGCAACGATACTACGCAGGTGCTCGGAACCAAAGTACACCATTTTCACAGAAGACCACCCGAATGCGTAATAAAATAGATTTATGCAGTTCCCATTTACAGTGTCTTAAATTATAATGGACACTTAATTTTCTAATGCCAAGCTCACAGCTTGATTGTTCTACAGATTTCTACGATGTTTTGCTGTAGCTTTCTCCTACTCCATCTCGTTACTGGTAAAGCTTGTTGATGATTTTTCGCCTTCCGGGACGATTAGGATTTAGCTTTTTCGAAATGGTTTCATCTGTTTCAAACCAACTCTATTCATCGTCAATTTCGACGCTCGCAAAGAAAGAAACAGGAGACCCTATTTTTTTTCATCCACTAAGTCAACATCAGGAGCAAACAGATAGCTTTCAATTGTTTCCCTCCCTCGCGCTTTCTCGTTAGCCGTAATTGAAAATAAGCGATACAGTATCAGTAGGCCACATGGCGGCTTATATACTTTATATTATAATGCCATGGGCCTTCACTGATCTAGGATGTGTGTACGCTACACGAGTCTGCAGGCCCAGTAAGTAACGTTTAGAGGACAACTTGCTCTCTTTAAGGCCCTGGATTGACTTGCACTGGGCATGAACTACCAGAGCCACAAGATCCACAGCCTGCAGATTGTGGCTTGCAGGTTCGCGGTATCCGTTGCTTGTATATACGCGATAAATGGGCATTGGGCGTCGTCGTTCTTCAGATTAGTGCGAATCTTCTGTGGTCCCACAGCTTACATGATACCTTCGACTAGCGGGAATCGAGCTTTCTCCAACATTTTGTGATCCTGTCGCTGCTCATGCGGGCTGCGTTTTGTCAGTTCTCGTGTGGCTTTTTACCCCAAAAAAACAAACTAAATCCTCTTGCACCGTTTAACCTTCAATATATTACACGTTGTTTCATGGAAGGCTTTATGTCGCCGAATGCAACTTTACAGTCGCTTCTATATAAATATAAAGGTAGGTTTGTGCACTAAAGTAACCTAGAAAAAAAGACGTACTCTTTGATACATTAAGGCAGAGAACCTGTGAAATACGTCAAGAACGCGGCACGCAAATACCGTCTTTTCGAGCCGATCGTGTCGTATCTGTTAGAACGAATTCAACTCATTACAAAATACGTGATAAGTGAAACTACGTATCATTAGGATGATACGCTGTTCACCTTAACGAAATTTTACACGGCAAAAACAGAAGCCTGTCTATTCGGCTTTAAGCACTTCAGTTATACTTTTGATAAAAATATAAATATGTAGAAGACCTGCCAGAAATTCACCATTATGCATAAGTGTAGTATAGCTGCATTGCGGTAGCAGCAGAACGGTAGGGGGTGGCAGGACTATACGATGCACTGAACGCTAAACAGTAGAAGCTCGCATTGCAATCCGCCTGGTAGACGTAAGAAAATATCTTGCAGCCAGCGGTCTGACGAACATAATACCTCTAGAAACTAACCAACCTAGCTCGGGTTTTGCCCCAGATAGCGAACGAGAGTCGTGGATGGCCCTGAGCGACTGCTTCGTTTAAATGTACGCGGTATTGGTGTCGTGGTCAATATCTGGCAGCAAACTTTGCCTTTGTAACTTTGCCTGATCTGTTTCTGGGCATTGTTTGCGCCATATAGTAGCTCGCCGCTCTCCCGTTTCTTTTCGGCAAGACATAGACACGCACCGACGATTGTAATTTTTGCTTGAATTTACTGGTAGCCTTAAGAGCCTTTAGCTTTATCGTCCATGACCTCTAAAGGTATGTCTCGATGTTAACGAGGGCAGCTACTAGAGAAGTGATAGTAGTTATGTGTGATTTAGACGTCGTCGTGCTAGTTGCTCGAAAGCCCGTAAATGGAGTTATTTGACAGGGGAAAACGTTCGTATCTTGCTGAGAATTGTGCCTAAGTTTAGCTTCAACTTGGCGCTTTAATACGGTTCGCTCGCTTGTTCGTGATATAAAGCGCGAATGCGGCGGGCTGGGCTAAGCACATTAAATGCATCACCGACGCGGGTAGACAGCTAGCTGGTTAGGCGACTCACTGGAGTACTCGCGGAGCCGAGAAAATTACAGACTACTGTGTAATAAGCACATCTTTTCCATACGCTCGAAGAAGCAGGCCAGGCAGGGTCTCGCTCGGCCTACAGCGGAAAGCGCTGGGTCGGTATCGTTCGCGCATCCTTTAACGCCCCAAATTTACAAAGAACCAGTCACTGCCTCTATGGAAGCGACCGGCCACTTTCCCTAGAACCGGCTGCACTTCAGGGGCGATTAACAGCTGCTAGTAAGTCCCGACCATTCTACAGCCAACAGAAGGTCTGCTTGGCTTCTTAAGCGGCAGCTCTAAGCTCTGAGCGTTCGAAGTTCCTATACTTGGAGTCCTCACGGCTGCAACACAGGTGAAAGTGGAGCTGCTATAGACCTGTCGGGTCAAACACCTGGCACTTCAAAAACATTCTGTTTTTCTTAGATAGGCTAGAAAGAAAGAGCATACCTGTTATTATGCTGACGGTTAGTGACCAGATGTCTGAGTTTGGCGCGGGGCACTTGACGCTAATGGTAGTATTCACTGAGAAACTTCTTTCCAATAGTAGGCGATTTCCATGTGAGCAAATGCACATGCATACGTCCGTGCGTCGGTTCATTCATCCGTACAGATTTTCAGACGAGATCGGTAACAAGAAAACGAACATTTAAATGGCTCTACGTCTTGGTCCATCATGTTCTCAGTATCTCCGAGTTCAAATCGATCATCGGAGGCTATATGATGGAGCAGTTAGCAGAAATGGGTTGCGTCCGGGCTACTCTCGATGACGGTCGAAAGGGGGCTCCTAAGTTATCTTAGAAGCCGAAGAAATGCAACTTTCATTAACGTACTAACTCACTCGTCTTCTAAGTAAGTTGGTTACTACACAACCTATAGATATCCACTTCGTCTACTAAGCTTCGAAAATATCTATTGAAAAGAATTTAATCTGCAGCGTAATTGATAGAAAACTGGTTTATTTTAGAGCAGAACATACAATGTTTTCCATAAATAATTGGGTGTTTATAGTGCCGTGTGTTTAAAACTATAGACGGTAGAAAAGGTAGCGGGAGTACAACAGCTTCATTTATACATTGTGGGTTGCTTCTTGCACACGTCTGTATTGGCACATATTTTTAGAATCTGTATTGTATGTTATGTCTACTTGTACAATAAGAGTCACCGTATACATGCGCAGATCTTGTTCGAAAAATGATTGCGTGCAATTGTGTGTGCCCGTTTCGCCTAACCGAAATTCTGGCGAAGTGACCCATAGATTTGTCTTTCATCGAGAAAATTATGCCCTTATCTTTCATTTATCTTGCGTTTGCGTATTTGTACCACTTACCAGCTTCTAGTGCACACTTCCAAACCTCTTGGCAATCAGATGAACCAATGGGCAATATATCAGGCTGCTCAGCAAACGATCCTCTCCATTAATAGTAAATTTAGCGACAAAGATTGTTCTGGCTATTGCATTTTTGTGCGCTGTTCATCTCTTTTCAGTTTATTTTTCCATTTATTCTGATCCTGTTTCTGTCGTTGACTGAAGATTTGTTGTTCCTGCCAATATCTTATCATTCCTCCTGTTAATTCGCTGTGATCACATTGAGGGGTTCTATTATTG